GCGGTCGTCTTCCTAAACCTGAATTTAGTCTCTTCCTGTATTGCGCTCTTGAATAACATGAAGTCTGAAAGAAACAACCCTAACTTACGTCCCTATATACATAAAGTACGTGGAAATATTAACAAGTAAATGGTCCTTCGAGCGTAAACACACACTTCTTTGTTGCCTAAGATGTCAGCAATTACACCATATTTTTGAATAATTCTTTTTTTTTGAAAAGCCCTACACTTATGTCACGCTTTAGGCTATATATTTCCACGCCATTAAACTTAGGGGGTAAATATTTTGGATAAAAACCCTAATGTGGGAAAGAGACCATGAGTTGCTGCCAACATCAAGGAAACAAGATTGCAATGGTTTGTCATGTCATGTCAGTTTGACATTTTTTATTGATAATTTGACAAATGTAAACAATAAAATAAAATTTTCATAATTTAGTGCGGATGAAGCCGCATGGGAACAGCTAGTATGAAATAATAAAAAATGCACTATATCTAGCTTCTGCCCGCGAATTTTCTCAACCACTGTGCCGCGGAACTTTTGTGTGCCGTATTTTGCATATTTTTGTCATAAACTATTTATGCCGTGTTGTAACATGTGCCGCAATAAAAAAGGTTGAGAACCACTGCTCTCAGCTGCCCAATTTAAACGAGATCTGTTCAGCAGTTTAGGCTACTCTAACAAAAATCCATCGAAAATTTAGCATTTTTTAAATAAGATTAAAGAGTTGTGTTTGGGTAACTTACCATCCATACTGCCAAATTCCAGCTGTTCAACTTGTTCCCGTACTTGATGGCGATGCAGCAAGTGAGCGCTGAAGTTGGTCCCGTAACTTACACGTTCGTTGCACAACGGACAAAAGAATGCTTTGCGTTTCTCAACCTGCGGTTTGGTTTCAGAAAGTCCATTAATAGCCGGTTTCTCAGTTACTTTTAAGCAATCGTTGTTTTCGGTTCCGTAACATTAAATGCGTCTCTGAACTACGTAAATACTAACTAATAATAATAACGCTAAATTTATTACATCTACACTTCTATACTATTATAATAAAGCGTAAACACACACTTCTTTGTTGTCTAAGATGTCAGCAATTACAGCATATTTTTGAATAATTAATTTTTAATAATATACTATCAACTTAGAGCTAGTAAAATGTGGCAAGTTTAGCTAACGCAGGACGCAGGCTTCGTTTTTCAGTTGGCCCCTTTATACACTATGTTTACACAATCTATGGTTGGAGTTTATGGAAAGAGATAAAGACCTCGTATCCGTGAGCCTTCCACAGATGGTTGTTTAGAATTTGCTTTTGGCTGAAATCTCGCTGACAAATGTGACATTTCTTGCGATCAGTCGGCGAGTACTTCGGTGAATGATCATTACATAACTTCACTGGGAAATAATTATGCACTTAAATACCTGAATACTATAGAAACGTCATCACTAGTTAATATGAGGCCTAATTTTAGTCCACTTCCCTTTCCACCCTTTTCTTAAGAGGAAAGGATGGGAAGGAAAAGTGGATTTGACGGTGGAGACGCATCGAAGGGGATATATCCTCTTTACGTGCGTCTCCTCCTGTCAATAAAGGGTAGGCAACGCTGCAATTGCGGATGTTTATGTGCAGCGGTCGCTTTCCATTTCGGTGGATTCAGGTGGCCGCTTGTGAGTTTGCCACCTTGTATTATAAAAAAAACTTTGGTCGAGGGTTCGAAATCCGCCATTCGCGTATTGTGAACCATAACCTAACACAAGCCTACAGCTTATTTGTATATTAGTAAATCATTTATTGTCTGTGGCTTTATTTTAGAAAATTAAAAAAAAACATTCGAAAACATTGTGATGCCTGCAAACTGCGAAGAAATACAAAGACATGTGAAGTCCCACAGTGCAGAGTTGACTATGACCCAGTCAATAACTTAGGGTAGGCTCAGAGCCTCAGTGGGGACGTATAGTGAGTTGGTGATGATGATTGAAATAGTGATGATTTCAACTTACATCCATGTTTCATTCTGAGATGTGTGAAGCAAGCCTTTTTACTATTATATACGTTCTCACAGAAGTGACACGCGTATTGCCTACTCTCACTTTCAGATGTAGCGCTGTGGCATCTACAATGTTAAGGGTCATTTTCACAAAGTGATTACCATATCGCTATCACTTTGTATGACAATAGTACACATAAGCATAAATAATGTCAGATATGTTCCAAAAAGGGAGCAATGAGTAATACAACAAAAGTTTCACTAATTTAAGTTTAACTTTTGACAATAGGGAATATGCATGTATTTTTTTCTTTTTTTTCAACGATCCTACTTGTTATAAAATAAGAAAAAAAAAATTGACGCGAAATTATTCAACCATTGAGCTAAAAATAATAAAATAAAATTACGACCATTTCGTGTGATAAGACAATTGACGTCAATCGTCATATTCCATTCATAACATACGTTCAGATGTCACTTCGATGTAAAAAACAACAAAGTATCTCATTGCTTCTTATATTGCCTATTATGCGATAAATCGAAGTGAATTTGAAAAAATAATATACTAATAAAGTAACTAGAAATACTATACTATAAAAAAGTAACCTATATATATCCCGTGTACTTCAGCTATTTTCCCGTCAAAGTCCCGTAAAAATTATATACTACCGGAGAATATCCGAAACAAGCGCTAATGGACAGAGCGACAAGAAAAAATTACAGTAGGTATTTGGTAAATAGCAACGCAAATTTCCTACTAAGGAGAATATGAAAAATTGCGTAAAACGAAACGTCAAAGTTGTCTATGGTCAAGTTTGTACCCAATACCTGTTTATATGATCAGCGAGATCACTAAGCGAGGCGCCGCATAGCGAGCACTCGCGTACACGCAGACCAGTTCTCGGCTCAAGGCCGTGCACCATCCGTACATGCTGGTCTATCTCCTCAGCTGTTGGCAGCTGCACATTGCAGTAAATGCATGTCGTTTCATCTAACGCTTGGATCTCATGCTCTTCCTTTATATCTTGAGAAGTATATGATTATTTGTCAATATAATTGTAACTAGTGTAATTAAACATTCAGAAATACCCAAGGGCGGATCCAGCTTTGGCGCCAGGAGGGGTCACATAGTCGTGGTCAAGTCAAAAGCTTGACAAAATATGTAAATATATTTTGTCAAGCTCTCAGGAGGGGTCATGACCCCCATAACCCTCCTCCCTGGATCCGCCGTTGAAACTACCGATCCCGCTCAAATGGCGCGCTATTCAAATACGTTTGAATGACATTGACAGTTGTCAGATAAGGAAGAGACGTTTATGCCATCTAGTGTTGCGCCAACCATCCAGCTCAACATTATAAAACACGGCTTAACTCATGTAAAAAAATCGATATAGGCAACGACCAGTTTTGAACTAGTCGGGAGGTCGGACAGAGGAGGGGACATAAAGTGTAAAGTGAAGAGACGCATAGCATTGTTTCCTGTCCCATTCAAGTAAATCTTTTTCTTCTTTAAAGGGTGGCGGATAACGACGTATGGTTTTGTATAGCATAAAAATCTAGTCGCATTTCGTTACAGAAAACTGTCTTACCATCAGCATCCTCAGTCGAAGCTAAATGACTTGTCTTGTTTAATCTGTGGTCCACCGTCATAGTCTCTCCCTCTTCCAAGATAGATTCGTCCAAATACTCCTCATCTATGACAATGAAATAATTTTTAGGAGTTATGGTTTTTTCAAAGGTGAAAAATAACCATAAACGATTACTATTACATTGTTCAAATTAAACAGATAATGTACCGTCGGGAAAACTGGCAGTTTTCCATCTTAAAAATATATCTTTTGAACAATTTGAAACGAGACGAACTAAAGAGAGAACTAAAATCAATACAAGACAAATTATAAATGTATCTGTACAAAAAAAGAATAGCTTCTTATGATTATCCCTTTGTTTGCACTCACTGTTATATTATTATTTGTAATAGGCAGAGTTTATGTCGTTGCTATAAACAAGACAATTATTCCTAAAGTGGAACGCCGCTGAATTCCACGCCTGTACATTATTTTTACCGAAATCTATACTAATATAATAAAGCGTAAACACACACTTCTTTGTTGCCTAAGATGTCAGCATTTACAGCGTATTTTCGAATAACTCTTTTTTTAATACAAAGCCCTATACTTACGTCACGCTTTAGGCTATATTTTCACGCCATTAAACTTAGGGGATAAATATTTTGGATAAAAACTCTAGTGTGGGAAAGAGACCATAAGTTGCTCTCAACATCAAGAAAGACAGATTGCTAAGGTTTGTCATGTCATTTTGACATTTGCTATTGATAATTTGACAAATGTAAACAATAAAATAAAATTTTCATAATTTCTTGCGGATGAAGCCGCACCGGAACAGCTAGTTTTAAATATTTAAGTTGTCTAAATTTCTTTTGTGGTAGTTCAGTTCAGTTTCTTGTCTATGGCACTCCCTTAGCAGATTGGGCCAGTGTAGTGTTTATGGTTTTATTCTTTTGTGGTAATACTTAGCAATAGTAAAACCTGCCGAATTTTCAGATTTACTTTAAACGATAGCGCATGATCTATTTCTACATTGTAATGAAGTTTTTTTGGGGTCAAAACTTGTTTCGAAGAATAAACTACACAGTTTAAGGTTTTTGTGCAACATTTTAAAAGAAATAAAGAGAAACTCGATAGGTTAGGTTTAGAATAAACGAACTAAAAAGCGTTATTGTATGTTCAGTTAATTTATATTATCAATAATTTAAGTAAAACCATTTTCTATTAAAATAGATTTAAAATAATAAACATAACTATTACCGTGGGAAATTACTAAACGAAATAAATTTGTCTTTTTCTTAGAAATAAGTTACGACCCACAAAAAAACTTCACAATGGTGTAAATGATATAATTTCCTACCATTCAAAGTATTTGTGAATTGCCTTATTCACGTTACATAAATATGAAATAACTAATAATTACCTTTAATACTTTGAAGCATTGCTAGGTTTTTGTTCGTTTGGTTTTTGAATGCAGCAGCTTTTTCCAATTTTTCAACACAATCGGAACATATAAATTTATATTCAGTAGTTATCTACAATTATATAAAAATTTAGAATATCACTTGCACAAATTATTAACTAAAATATTATTAAAATCAGATATGAAATTGTAATATGAAAAAATCGAAGCATAAATTGTAAACATAACCTTAATATTGTAACAACTTTTTAACATTTGCGCGTAGGTTTCTTCATTATCGGCGTAAACAGCAAATAGGTCGCATAAATCTTTATTATTCATGCAACTTATGCAACCAACAAAATCCTCTTCCTCCTCCATTGTTGTACTTTTAAATTATTTTAAAACAATGGAAGGAGGATGTAATACGAACATTCGCGATTTAGTTTTAATAACAAAAGACGGTTTTTATATTTCTTAAAAATGCAAATTGAATGAAAATGGCAGTGTTAACGGCTATGCTTATTTTCTTAATTTTACAGGTTTAAGTGCTAACATAAATTAATTACTTTAAATATATATACTTAAAAAATGTGAATTTATAATGTTGCGACGTTTAATTTTCGATGTAAAATACCATTTGATTCTGGCTGTATTTAATATGAATTTAAAGCAGATTGTTAGAAATTAGTAAAAGTAGTAAAATGAAGAATTTTAACGAATAGACTAGTTTTTATAGACTTTTTTTATAATCCGAATTAGATATTATTTAAATTTTGCGTTGTTAGGAACAAAATTCACAGACAGCTGTCACTGTCACTGTTACATGAATTTGACATTTAACGTTGAGACATTTTGGTCTGTGTCTGTGGTCGCGTCGAATCGTGTAAATAAACAATAACATTAGGTATTTAACGTTCTACTGATTACGATTATATGCGATACGAGAATAGAAAGCCGTCAAGTCAAGTTCGTAGGCTAATGACCCTAACGAAACCAAACGATGCATATTAACATATGATGATAAAGTGTTTATAGTGAAATAAAATATTTTATTTTCTATCAGCACAATGAAGTTCAAAATAGACAAAAGGCTATTGCCTATTAAGGCACATTTCTTCTTCTTTTTCGCTGGTAAGTACAAATTAATTTATTTTTAATACGTCAAAAAGAAGCAACAAACTCCTAAGACGTATTGCTTTTAAAAATAGTACATCACGAAAACTCTTTTAAATTCGTTTCATTGTGTAATTACATTAATAAACATATTACATATTAAACTTACGATGTATCCTACTAATATTATAAATGCAAAAGTTTTGATGTTTGTCAGAGTTTGTAGCCTAAATGGCTGAACGGATCTCGAAGAAATTTGGCATAGATGTAGAAGATAGTCTAAAGGAATACATAAGCTACTTACTTTTGTTTATTTTTAATTCTTCTCATACGAAGTAGCAGGCGAAAGCTAGTATCGAATATTAATTTTAGGACTTTATTTAAAATTCTATAAAAAATGTATCTAAATTACCGTAATACTATGATATGATATCAGTCTGAAATGATAAGAAATGAAGTTGTTATATGATAAACAGAGTTTTCACAGTATTTCTCAAACCATGAAATCAATTAATTGGTAAATTATGATAAAATATGAAAATTTCACGATCTTTTTATAGTTCAATTAGCCCGCAACTCCGCATGGAATTTAAAAAAAAAAGTAGCCCATGTGTTCTTCCAGACTATCCTCCACATATGTGCTCATTTTCATCGATATACATCCAGCAGTTTAGGCTACAAACTCTAACAAACAACTGAACTTACGCATTTATAATATACGAGCTGTTGCCCGGGACTTCGTAAGCATGGTATTAGAAAACATACAAACTATAAAAATTACAAAAAGCTACGAATCCCTCGGGAACTGGACATTTCCCGGGGATGAAGCTTATCCCGCGTGTACTCCAGACTTTGTTTTATATCTGTGCCAAATGTAAATAAGATATGTTGAACCATTGCAGAATGATCAAGTAAACATTAAAAAACTAAATTAAAGAATCCCACGGGAACCGTAACTATTCCAGGGAAAAAAAGTAGCCTATGTGTTCTTCCAGACTATGCTCTAAACCTGTGCCAAATTTCATGGAGATCCGTTCAGCCGTTTAGGCTACAAACGCTAACAAACATCCATCCATCCATCCATCCATCTATCCATCTAAACTTTCGCATTTATAATATTAGTAAGTATAATATTAGTAAGAAAAGTGTGATTTAAAAATCGTTTCTGTTTTTCATGAAAGAAATAAATACTGAATTAATTTTAAAATATTCTTTTACCAATATCAAGCATATAAACACCTAGTTGTTCTTACTAAAATATTATAAAGAGGAAAGATTGCTTTTATTGACACTATGAAACTACTGAACCAATATCAAAAATTATATGAACATTAGAAACTACCGTACATAATAATATCAGCATCATCAACTTGCCCTTATCCTTAAAGGGTCGGCACAGTATGTATTGTATACATCTCACTATATGTCCCCACCGAGGGGCTCGGAGCCTACCCTAAATTAGGGTGATTAGGCCATAGTCAACCACGCTGGCCCAATGCGGGTTGGTTGACTTCACACATATCTTTCAATTTCTTCGCCGATATGTGCAGGCATCACGATGTTTTCCTTCACCGTAAGAACGTCGGGTAAATTATGTACATATGAAAATTCGAAAAATCCAAAATCACATTGGTACATGGCGGCGGGATTCGAACCCAAGATTACAAGTCAAGTGCTTAAACCACTGAGCCACCGACGCTCGTATACATCTATATCAGACGTAATCTGAATTCACTCCCTTATTTTTTCTCCCCGCATTTCACATAATCCATTCTACTGCTCTATTTTACCACATAGCTACAGAACAGCTGCAAGAATTTATATGAAATTTGTCACAGATGTAGAAAATAGTGTGGAAAAACACACAGACTAGTTTAGTTACTAGATTAGTTTCTTTTTTTAATTTCAGACTGCATGGAGTTGAAGGNNNATGGATGGATGGATGTTTGTTAGCGTTTGTAGCCTAAACGGCTGAACGGATCTCCATAAAATTTGGCACGGGTTTAGAGCATAGTCTGGAAGAACACATAGGCTACTTTTTATCCCGGGTTAGTTACGGTTCCCATGGAAGTCATTAATTTAGTTTTTTAATGTTCACTCGATCATTTTGCAACGGTTCAACATATCTTATTGAAATTTGGCACAGATATAAAACAAAGTCTGGAGTACACATGAGATAAGCTTCATCCCAGAGAAATGTCCGGTTCCCGAGGGATACGTAGCTTTTTGTAATTTATATAGTTCGTATGTTTTCTAATACCACGCGGACGAAGTCGCGGGCAACAGCTTGTACTATTATAAAATGACATTGTTCTTGTTAACATAGATTTTGCTTATGCATGACCTACTTTATCAATAACAATAGATGTATTTATTTATTCAAATTAAAGTTGTAATTATGAATAAATTTTCATGTAATTGCAACTTAGATAAGGTAATATCATAGGCTCACATATCTTCACTCTGTTGGCTTAACCTATCGTTGGCAATTGAGTTGTAATCAGTCAACATAACCGCAGCCTTAAGTTGCTAAGAAGGTTTTAGTCAACACATACACTGCCATAAGAAATTGAGAAGGTTTTAGTCAACACACCCACAGCTCTTGAGCACAACATGCCCACAGCCCTAAGATATTAAACAAGCTTTAGTCAACATGCCCACACAACTCTATGTCATCGAACAGTTTTTAGTCAATACATCCACAGCCCTAAGTCATTGACAAGGTTTTAGTCAATTTGCCCACACAGCTCTATGTCATAGAACAGTTTTTAGTCAACATGTCCACATCATTATATCATTGAGATTAGTAATCTGAGATAGTAACATAATAAAGTAATTATGTTTATGTATTGTTTAAATATTAAAAGGTAAATAAGATAGTGTTTAGTACTTCTATCTTTATGATTATAAGAGACTAGCTGTTTCCTTGCGGCTTCATCCGCATGAATTTATGGAAATTTCATTTTATTGTTTATGTTTGTCAAATTACAAATGTCAAAATGACATGATGACAACCTTGCTTAATTGATGTTGGCAGCAACTTATGGTCTCTTTCCCACATTAGGGTTTTTATCCAAAATATTTACCCCCTAAGTTTAATAGCGTGAAAATATATAACCTAAAGCGTGACGTAAGTATAGGGCTTTTTATTAAAAAATAATTATTCAAAGATATGCTGCTGACATCTTAGCCAACAAAGAAGTGTGTGTTTACGCTTTATTATAATAGTATAGATTAAAGTAGTATACAGTTATGAGACTTTGTTTTATTGTCTAGTTATCCATCATTGTTTATTCAAGGTTATTACCCAACACCACTTATGGGCTTACCGATCCTCAAGTCATACAGGCTGAATCAGGAGGCACATGGTCTGATCGCATGCACCTTCTTGATTCCCTACAAATTATATTGTCTATTAATTTGTGACAAGTCTCCCCTAATGGGTATGACGACACAATAAACATGTTCGCCGTCGGGCATCCACACCAGCGATTACTCCAATTCAAGGTCATTAGTGGAATGTAGTGTTTTACGCAGGAACTTTAGTTTTTAATTCTGGAAGTCTATCTCTTTGTGTGCTTTTTTTAATATGATAAGGTGGCAAATAAGCGGCCATCTAGAATTACCAGAATGTAGCATAGCTACTGATGTCCTTAGACTCCTGCATTTGTAGATGCCTTGACAATCTATGAAGGAGTGCTACAGAAAGAGGAAAATTCTTATACATCCCCTTTGCCAAATCCCCCTTCCAATCATTTTTATAAGATAAAGGTGTGAAGGTGCAGTGGACTGAAATTTACTCTCCTGCACACACTCGTGAGGGATTATTCCCAACGGTCACCCCGCTCTGTCCCCACGTGAGAATAAAAAGTTTCATCGTTCCACCTTTTAGTCTATCACCAATAAGGTGACAGTTGGAACCGTTATGAAATAAAATAAGTTCCAACCGACCCCTCGTCGCTTAAGGTGGGACGGATGAAACTTTATATTCTCATCTGTCTCCATGTGGGGATAGAGCAGGGTGACGGTTGGGAAAATCCCTGGTGAGACGAAACGCGCAATTCCACTTGACGGCTATATTCTGTACATGATTCAAACAATATATAGAGAGGCCATAGTTGATACTTGAAACATTTTTCGTGATTATCAGTAAAGCTATCTAATGAAAAGACCTTTTTATATTGTTTAGTTTATTTTTATTATTTGTAAAATTTACATGTAATTTTTATTTATTTACATACAGAGAAAAAATATAAAATTTTTCGATTAAAACTTGTCGCCAAAAAATACAAGGTCACGATGGCACTAAATTTGACAACTGATGTACAGTAGAATCTCGGTAAGTTAAAGTCCAAGGGAAACACAAAATATTTTAAGTTATAGACGTTTTAAGTTATCAAGGGTCTATGTTATAGAGGTTTTGGGCTTGATGGCAAGGGAACATATTTTTTGAAGTTTTAGAGGTTTTTAAGTTATCGAGGTTCTACTGTAGTACCTCTCAGAGAAAGTACCGGTGAAAACTTCATTGTCTCGTCTATGTTTTAATATCTTTGATTTTGTATTATCGTGGTATTGTACCGTAGTTGACCAATCCGTGTAAACGATTGCTGTCTAGCCAGTCCTCGTATGTGAACTTGTTACTCTATCTCTCTGGATAGTCGTGAGAGCTAATGGTCCAATAGTTATCCCATCCCCACGGTTACTGGTGCAATTTAAGTCGACTGTCATTGCCAAGGATCCTAAATTGCGACATCCTATCGCGTACATACGGGCGCTTATCTAGTGTTAATGAAACTGCGACCTATTTGTCAAGTTTTCATTAAAATTTATTTATTTGTTTAGCAGACAGTGTTATATTGAACTACAAGCTTTCGCCCGCGACTCTGTCTGCGTGGTATTAAAAGAAACAAAAGTATGTAGCCTATGTGTTCTTCCATACTCTGCTCTACATTTATGCCAAATTTCATCCAGATCCGTTCAGCCGTTTAGGCTACAAACTCTAACAAAGATCCATCCATCCATCCATCTAAACTTTCGCATTTATAATATTAGTTTGATAGTTTGTCTAAATAAGATAGAATAGTTTGATAAATGACGCATATGAAGTATCGAATTCAATTTGTAAGAAGGCAAATGCCGTACTTAGACAGGTATCGTAGTTAAGAAACAAATACGCAGCGAACAATTATGAACTATCGATATTCGGTTTAAATAATTATCGAACTCAACTAAATTATTATTTTCTTATTAAGTAATTTAGAGGACAATTCTAGTATTGATTATAGTGTAGAAAATTTAGCGATGACAAATAATAGCGAAATCCAATTCGATTACGTACGGCTGTAGTAGTAATAAATATTTATTTGCTCTCATTGTTTGTAATAGTGCAGGGTCATTATTAATTTAAGAAAACAGTGTTTTTTATATGATTTGTAACTATGAATCTATCGATTCCAACTTCTATAAGAATAAAAATCGAAAATCGAAAACACATCCCTACTAATTTGTCACATGAATTGTCAAACTAATCTGTCTTATTTAGACACACTATAACAATTTATTTAAGCCTGATAATAAAACTTTATCTATATGACAGAAATAATTGTCCGCCATGACAGTTTTAATTATACGATGACGTTTTATTGCTTTACCGAGAGCCACGTTTAAACTATGTATGTTCTCTATATCTATACTAATATAACTAGCTGTTGCTCGCGACTTCGCCTGCGTGAAATTATAAAATATAGCCTATGTTATTCACGGATAAATTATCTTTCTAACGTTGAAAGATTTTTTAAAATCGGCCCAATAGATTTTGAGTTATTTCAATACGTGCAAAAATACAAATCTTTCCTCTTTATAATATTAGTATATACAAAGAGGAAAGATTTTTATTTTTGTATGTATTGAAATAATTCAAAAACTACTGGGTCGATTTCAAAAATTCTTTCACCATTATCAAGCTACATTATCATCGAGTAACATAGGCTTTTTAATATCACGGAGACGAAGTCGCGAGTAACCACTACTAGCTAAATGATCTAGACATATACTGCAAGTTTACTATGCATATTTGGCTCTGTTCTTTATTGTTATGCGTATATTTGGTTGTTTTGATAATAAGTTTGCCGACCGTTAGCACCCTCACAGTTTAAATGACTTATTTTTTTTATAAAAAACAATGCTCTTTGTTTCTTTCAGCGCTGGGACCTCTTCTGCCCCAAATGAATGTCTTCGGTCGTCAGCTTGGTATATCTGCGGATGTAATGGGGATGGTGACGGCAGTTTTACCACTGTTATGGGCGGCAGCGAAACCTCTATTCGGTTACGTAGTTGATTATTGGCCTGTAAGTATATAAAAAAAAACTGTTGTTTGCGTCTTCGTTCGCGTGAAATTAAAACAATAATAAAAAAATGTAGCCTATGTTACTCACAGATAAATTACCTTTCTTACAGTGAAAGAATTTTTAAAATCGGCCAAGTAGTTTTTGAGTTATTTCAATACAATCAAAAATACAAATCTTTCCTCTTTATAATATTAGTATAAATAACCTGGTACCACAGCGGTTAGTGTCTCTCGTATCATTTACTAGCTGTTCTCGTGCGACTTCATCCGCATTTAATTATGAAAATTTTATTTTATTGTTTACATTTGTCAAATTATCAATAGCAAATGTCAAAATGACATGACATGACCTTACCAATCTTGCTTTCTTGATGTTGGCAGCAACTTATGGTCTCTTTCCCACTTTAGGGTTTTTATCCAAAATATTTACCCCCAAGTTTAATGGCGTAAAAATATATAGCCTAAAGCGTGACGTAAGTGTAGGGTTTTTTATTAAAGAAAGAATTATTCAAAAATATGCTGTAATTGGTGATATCTTAGGCAACAAAGAAGTGTGTGTTTACGCTTTATTATAATAGTATAGAAAAGGAGACAAGTAGACATATCTTTGTATAAACTATCGCACAACTGTTGTGCGATTGTCGGTTGTTTCAGCAATTCAACTGTTTAGTTGCGTTAAAATCTAGTGTGCCTTCAATATAAGCTCATGGAATCAAAGCGCGACTAAACAGTTGTGCGATAGATTAGTCAAAAGTGTGCAGAAACTAGAGGCTTATCCAGAAATACTTTTATAGTGCTGAAGATTTTTTTCGATGATATTATTCGTAATGATTGTGCAAATTTTCTGTAGTTTATCGAGATCGTAAATAACAAATGTTAGGTGATGTCGATTACATCTTACTCCTTACTAATATTATAAATGCGAAAGTTTAGATGGATGGATGTTTGTTAGAGTTTGTAGCCTAAACGGCTGAACGTATCTCCATGAAATTTGGCACAGATTTAGAGCATAGTCTGGAAGAACTCATAGGCTACTTTTTATCCCTGGAATAGTTACCGTCCCCGTGGGATTCATTAATTTAGTTTTTTAACGTTTATTCGATCATTCTGCAACGGTTCAACATAGCTTATTGAAATTTGGCACAGATATAAAACAAAGTCTGGAGTACACATGGGATAAGCTTCATCCCCGAGAAATGTCCGGTTCCCGAGAAAAACGTAGCTTTTTGTAATTTATATAGTTTTTATGTTTTCTAATACCACCCGTACGAAGTCGCGGGCAACAGCTCGTTGTCCATAAATGTCAATTTTTATACCAATCTTATAATATTGACTGTCGTAGTTAGTGATAATTTCACATTTTCATTTTCAGAGTCAAAGGAAACTAGTCTTTATGTTGTTAATTGTTGTAATGACGGGATCATACTGCGGTTTATGGTTTCTACCGATGCCTGAAGAGCCAGAATCGTCTGTACCACTACTAAAATCTGTATACCAATTTAACGATACAGTCACAGTGCAGAAATACAAAATTGACCCTTCTGAACATTTACAAATGGTGAACTGCCATTGGAGTTGTGAAAGAACATATGATATACAAGTATATCTACCAAATTCAACTCTGGTTAATACCATTTATGTCGACGGTGTTGTGAATGATACGACTTGCTCGCTCTTACGTATGAATTATGTGGATACTAGAGGGGGACAGGTGATATGCTCGCCGAAAGAAGAATGCAATTTAATGTGCTTCGAAGAAGGAATAAGAGTTAATGGGAGTAGGAAAAGGAGAGAAATAAGCGTATCTAAGGATGTGAATTCTTTAGAAGTTGATGCTAAGATGTTTGGTAAAATAGAGAAGGAGAAAGAACAAGATGGATATGTTTATATGACGGTTGTCTTTTGGGTTTTTGTTGTGTTAATGTGTATAGGTACGGTGGCATTTAATGTAGCTAATTGTATTGGTGACGCTGTTTGCTTTGATGTACTAGGTAAGTTTATGAAGTTCCCATACGGCTTCATCCGCATCAAATAAAAAACTTGATGTTATTGTTTACATTTGTCAAATTGCCTTTGCCATTGGCTTACAATTACAATTACCATGGCAACCTTGATGTCAGCTTGTTTTTGTCCCTTTCTCGTGAGACAGTTTTATCTAAATAATTTACTCCCTAAATTTAATAGCGTCAAAATATATAGCCTAAAGCATGTCGTAAGTGTAGGGCATTTAATTAAAGAAAGAATTATTCAAAAATATGCTCTGATTGCTGACATCCTACGTCACAAAGTAATGTTTTTACGCTTTATTATAAAAGTACTAGCTGTTCTCGTGCGACTTCATCCGCATAAAATTATGAAAATACTATTTTATTGTTCACGTTTGGCAAATTATCAATAGCAAATGTCAAAATGACATGACATGACAAACATTGGTAATCTTGCTTCCTTGATGTTGGCGGCAACTTATGATCTCTTTCCCACATTAGCGTTTTTATCCAAAATATTTACCTCGTAAGTGTAATGGCGTGAAAATATATAGCCTAAAGCATGTCGTAAGTATAGGGCATTTAATTAAAGAAAGAATTATTCAAAAATATGCTGTGATTGCTGACATCTTACGTCACAAAGTAATGTTTTTACGCTTTATTATAATAGTATAGTTATAGATTAACTGTGAAAAAGTTAGGATTTTTATGATTTCATATTTCTTATTATTACTTAGTATAGTTATTTCTTTTAGGTGCTGAAGCTGCTTCAAAATATGGAGCACAAAGAGCCTGGGGTACCGCGGGGTATGGGATAACAGCCCTTCTAGGTGGTTGGCTTGTTGATTTAGTATCTGGAAGTTATAAGGATTTTACACCAGCGTTTATTGTGGCTATAATCGCTACTGCAATAGATTTATACAGTTGTAGAAGTCTTAAGGTAAGTTTTGTTCGCGCGGAATTAAGAACAAATGTAAGTAGCCTATGTGTTCTTCCAGACTATCCTCTACATCTATGCCAAATTTCATCGAAATCCGTTCAGTAGTTTAGGCTACAAACTCTAACAAACATCTAAACTTTTGCATTTATATTAGTATGATTTTACTTGACCTCGATGGTTGTGACGGAGAAGATAGTCTGGAACGTAGACTACTTGCTTTTGTGTTCAATTAAAGGCAAACGAAGCCGCGGGTAAAAGTTAATATTTCATATTTTCATGAAGGGATGGGTTTCTATTTAAAAAAATCGATTTTTGACCTTGAGAAACTTTGTTGTTTTTTACGTCGAAGTGGCATCTGAGCGTATGTTATGAATGAAATAAGACGATTGACGTCAATTGTCTATTGACAACTCCGGTCGCGTTTTAGTCGCTCGAAAATGGTCGTAATTTTATTTTATTATTTTTAGTTCAATGGTTGAATATTTTCGAGTCATTTTTTTCTGGTTATTTTATAACAAGTAGAATCGTTTAAAAAAAAATACATGCATATTTCCTATTGCTGAGATCCTACATAACAAAGAAGTGTGTTTACGTTTTATTATATTATAATAGTATTAACCATTTTCCCTGACTTATGACCGGTTTCTCAGTTACGTTTTACCAATCCTTAATGTTTTTGTTTTGATAAATAATGAATTGCGTTTCCGAACTACGTAACTTGAGGTTTAGAGAGATGCATAGCGATAACCACTACTAAGTAATAAGTGGGAACTTCAGAAACCCGGCATTAGTTTACAAAATAGTCAAATTGAGTATAAATCTTGTCGATAGATGGAGTTTTACGAAAAGTTATGAGTGTTAATAGATGGCGTTGTTTTACAATACAGTAGGACCTCGATAACTCAAACCTCGGTAACTTAAAAACCCCTTTAACTTCAAAAAATAATGTTCCCGTCCCATCAGGGCCCAAAACCTCTACAGCATAGACCCTTGATAATTTAAAACCTCTATAACTTAAAATATTTTGTGTTTCCCTTGGACTAACTTATCGAGGTTTTGTATTTGTAATGTAAATTTCCAGCTACCCTCACTATCAAGTCCTGAAGACTCGGGGAAAGCGTTACGCGATGTTCTGAAAATACCAAGAGTCTTGATTTTCATCATATTCGCGGTTGTCGCAGGGACATTTGATAGTTTTATCATATATTATATGTTCTGGTAAGTTTTTTTTATATAACTAGCTGTTGCCATGCGGCTTTGTCCGCATGAAATTATAACAACTTTATTTAATTGTTTACATTTGTCAAAATCTTAATTGTAAATGTCAAAATTACCGTTACCATAATAATTTTGCATCCTTAATGTTGGCAGCTTGTAGTTTCTAGTCCATTTTACACATGAAGGTTTTTTTGCTATTTATTTACCCCCTAAGTTTAATAGCGTGAAAATATAGAGCCTAAAACATGACGTAAGTGTAGGGCTTTTTATTGAAAAAAGAATCATTCAAAAATATGCTGCAATTGCTGACAACTTAGGCAACAAAGAAGTATGTGTTTACGCTTTATTATAATAAATATATATTGTAATATTACTAGTCTAGGTAATTTTTTAAACTTAACAGTGGTAGAGCCCGTTTTAACATGTTCGCACAACAGGGCTCGGTAATACTACGACCACACAGAAGACAGCCGTGAAGTGGGAATAATTCCGCGTACAGTCTGATGAGTGTGGTGCATGAGGCCCAAATTTTAGTCCCTTTTCCTTCCGACTCTTTTTCTTTTAAGAAAAGTATGGAAAGGAAACGGATTTGATGTTAGAGGAGATGCATGGAAAGGGGAAAT